GACTTGTGAGTTTGTGCCCTCACATAAGTGGGCACAGTCCTCACCCAGGTGTCCAAGTTCACATCCTTCTTCCTGTCACCAGAAAAAGGCTTGGGACTCAGCAAGGGGCTCTTGGGCATCCACTGCATAGGTTGCATTGGCCAGGAGATTGTTGCAGTGGCTGCATAGCCACTGAGACAAGTTGTTGCACGCTAATCTCACCCTGCCCTGACTGTGGTACTGTAGCTGCCACCGTTCTCAATGGCATGGGAGAAGTACTAAGGACCGGACCACTACTTGCTACTAAACCACCTGTTGGAAGCATGCCAAACATGGGAGAAAAGGAGGGTCGTACCGGCAACGGCATCACTAAGGGACCCGCAGCCGAAGGGGGAGCTACAACATACTGAGGCTGCCTCATCATTGGGCGAGGAGCCTGCAGTGCGGCCAGAATCCAGTTCTGGCCAGCCACCAGTTCAACCAGCACTTACTAATGCACAACCTGCGTTTCTGCCACGCAAAGGAGCGAGCTACGCAGTGTTTGCAACGCAGGGTCAAGTATCAACTCATCTAGTGCCTCCGATCTATACTCTTGCCTCCTCCTCCCTAGGCTAGCCTTTCTCAATATGACTCTTGCTGTGGCTAATCATGAAGAGTTTTTGCTTGGAGAATCTGATAACCCTCCGGTGTGAGTTGAGTCTGTTGCCTGACTTGCAAACCAGCAGGTTGACTAACGGAAACCTAAGAGATACCTTGGCTAGCTCTGGACGAAATGGCCTGGGACACGGCCTGGGCCATAGTAGAGGCAGTAGCCATTATGGCCTCGGCGTGGACTCTAACGTCCGCTGCTCGAGCTGCTGCTAGTGTCCTCTCCGTGTTGGCTGTTGCTGCCCTATCCCTCTCTAATGTCGCCCGTTGCCTGGCTTCAATCCGCAGCCTCCTTTCCTCTCCCGGACTTAACTCCTGGAAAGTGATAGGTTGACTGAGAGCGGTTCTACGGGTGACTCTAAGAGGTTCCACTAGTCGTTCCTCCTCCTCACTACTGCCTGCATCACTCATGAGCTACAGTGTGTGTGATCTAAACTAGAATCCACACTGAATCCTACCTCAGCATGACATCCAACTAAGTATGATATTCTACTAGTTTCGGTCAGCCTGGAGAGCAGTAGTCAAGTGGTAAACTGAGATCCTACAGGCCATATTAATTTTATTTTTGGGGTACTCTGGAACAGAATGCATGCAGCAAAGAATACTAACTATCGGCAGCAGTCTGTTAGTTGTCAATCAAGTCCGCAACAACTAAATAATCAAAAATAAAATTGTGTCACCTATAGAGATGCATGTTGGATGGACTATTTTCTAATTAGTTCCTCTACGAACATTTACCGGAATCCCCCCTCTACCAGTATCCTTCTTGAGTGGTCACTTTGTGTCAACGCCCTGAGCATCTGGTTGAGCGGCGTGTCTGAAGGTGTGCAATCCAGCCCACCCCTCTGCCCCAAGTCTATGCTGAACCTGCCAGCCCCTGCACCTTATTTCCCCTCGCATGTCCGGTTGATCTGCCTGATCAAGAGGCAGTTTGAGGACAGCCCTCGAGGTCCTCGGGAATTATTTAATGTCGCAGACAGGACGACGATCACAGCCAGGGTTCAATCCGGAACCCGCCAGAAACATTTACAGAGCGTCTGGTAAGCGTATGTTCAAAGGGCTGGCATGCCCGGCATGACCTCTATTGCGCAGCAGAAGAACCAAGGACTTGCGGCGAAGCATGCGTGTAGTAGTCCCAGCGGGTTGGCATGGTGACCGTGACCCGAGTGCTTCGTCCAGGGCACTTCAGATTCGCCTGTCACCCACCAGCTTGCTGCCCAGGAAGAATGTTGACTCTCAAGGTTAAGCGCTCATGACACCTCACAATGAGAGAACTCTCAAGGCAGGACTCACTTCCTCACAGTAAGAAGTAATAGAGAGGGTAGATAAGGCAGAGAGCAACGTAGCTGATAATGCTGCGCCCATCCACAGATTTCTCACCGGCAACCTGACGTGCATTTATGATGATCGGTCTTTGCCTCGGCACAACAAACAGCAGAATGCAGTTCCACCTCGGCTTAAATGCCACATCGGCGAGCTCTCATCATCCAGCGTACACCCCTATGTCACCACATAGCCTTCCTAGTGCGCCCACACGACCCTCGGCCGCCTATCGTTCAACGCCCAAGCCTTATCACTGCCCCACACCTCATGCGAAGCACCGAACAGCTATTGCGAAGAACCAATGAAGTGCAGTTCGATACCAAATTGGAAGGAAAATGAGCAATAACGAGATGACAATATCCAGATTGCACAATCACATTGAAAGCCAGAAAGTAGCACAGTGTCCAGAAAGCAGCATTGCACCAATATAACACCAGTGGAGAATAGTAACACTGAAAACCAAATGTCAATGAGATCTTGCCCTCGCCACCACCAACATAAGTGTCCAGGCCCTTCTCCCTACTTAGGCTCGGTGTCCAGCCTACTTCCTACACAGCTACTGTCTGCCTACTAATTGAAAATGCAACTGTTGACGTCAGGAGCCCACGAAGTACTTGAAGATGTCACCCAATGCAGACCATCGCCAATACCAGGTATGTGCCCTCACATCATCATCATCATCATCCTTCTCTCTCTCCCTCGACTTACACCCACATCTTCCTTCTGTATACCCGAAGACCACCTCTGCGCCTCACTGTAGTCCAAGCCCCCGCCAGCTATGGAGGCTGGGCTATGGCTCTGCCCTCAGCAGCGCCCTACTACGTGCACGACTGCACGCACACAGCACTTGCCCTTAGCGCACAGCAGCACGGGAGCCTACACTGCGCTGCCGCACAAACTGGCAAGTGCCTGAATGAGCCTCCAGGCAGCGCTCTTTCCTATATGGAAAGAGTCTGCCTACCCCGGCGGCCTGGCTGGGCTGGGCCTGTGCCCAGAAGCTTCCGGTAGGCCCCAGGAAGCTGTGCCTCGATTGCAGCTGCTGGGCCTCCTTCGGTTGGCCCTCCCAACTGTCTGTGTATGATCCTGCTATTCTTGCCCAGGGCCTGCATTTCAGGAAAGGCCTGGAAGGCCGTCGAAAATCTTCGCTGCTCGGGCCTGGGTTCTCTCAACCAACTGGCGCGTCACAACTGCCTCGACCCCAAATACGAAATTGACAGCAATGGGCTCTCGGGATTTGTTAGGCCCGTCTTCACTTAGGGTGGGCACATCTGTATCAGGCCCCCTCAGGCCTGCTGAGGACCCAGATCCGCGCAGAAAGAGGAAAAGAGGGAAAAAAAGAAACAAAGAGAAAAGAAAAAAGGAAATAAAGAAGAAACAACAATCTTTGATTGAATCATTACGAGGAGAAAGGCAGCCGTCCGCATGAGTTCAAGCATGACCGCAGAAGAACTCGTCTACTCATGCTGCAGATTTGCCACTGCATTCCTCCTGGGGATTCTTCCGAGTCCTCCTGGAAGGGTCTTCTTCGTTTTTTCCGTCTTCCCTCTTTTTCTTCCCTCCTGCTTATGTGTGTGTGTGTGTGTGTGTGTGTGTGAGACTGTCACCAGGGCAAACCCTTCACCGCTCAGACGAAACAGCTTTACCTTTTTACCCAAGAACTGTTGAAATACAGACCCAAGTTCGAATCCAAATGGTGATGGAATCAGCTGAATGAAACTATATATCAGAATAACATGGGGCCGGTCAGCTCAATGACGATATCTCAAGACCGTCSCCCTTCCTTTAGGGAAAAAAAAAAAAAAAAAAAAAAAAAAAAAAAAGCCTTGCCTTAATCTTCTATCAAGTAATATATAACATTTTAAATGTTATAGTCCGAGAGGTGCATCGTCCAACAGGCCAGTCGATTGACCGTGGAATGCCTTCCCACCAGTTCGCTTTTGAGCAGACATCCACCTTATGAGTTATATTTTCTGCTCTCTTAGAGACGTTCATCGTATGCATTCAGTAGTTCTGCGCGAGGGAAGGGAGGAGAGGAAGGGGAGGGAGAGGGAAGGAGAGGAGAGGAGAGGGGAGGGGAGGAGGGGAGGGGAGGGAGAGAGGAGTGTGGAGAGCGGAGAAGAACAGGTGGAAGAGGAACCTCTTAGGCTCCTCAACGCTCGCCAGCAGAGAAGACTGTTAAAAAAAAAAAGGAAAAAAAAAAAAAGGGTAGAGACTGGCACAAGAGGCCAGTCAGGAGTTGGCCTGCGGAGAAAAGTGACCCGAGTAGCCGGAGGCGGAGCTTTTTAGCAGTGCATATCGGGTGCGGGGCCCACGAACGAAGAGGACTGGATATAACGCATGTATATGGACGTGTTTGCTGAAGAGTAGCGAAGAGGAGTGGATATAACGCATGAATATGGACGTGTTTGCCGAAGAGTGCAGAAAATCGCGATCTATCTGGTTTCCCGCATCTACGCATAGAACAAGACCAGATTCAGGCGCTTAACCCGAATACTCTTTGCTAGAAGTGAGTGGGGACTGCCCCGTGCCCCTGCGACACACGCCCTCCACTCGTACGCCATACGTGTTCCCCAGGGGTCACGTACGTGTACGTGTGTACTTGCATTCACGGGTTTTTGTCCATAACTGATGACATCACCAACAATTGTCAACACTGGCGGACGTTAAAATAGTGAATAGAAATGCTCGGTCTTTGCGTTAGCCGGGCCCCCCGACCGGAGGCCCCAACCCTGCACACCCTAAACCACCACCAGGTAGGGCAAGGGCCAACATGGAATATCCCCTTCACCGTGAGAGGTAAAAGCTATGAAGAAGAAGAAATGAAACGAAATGAAGCAATGGCCACATTGCTCTTCACACGCATTCCATGAAAATCGTTTCTTACATACGTGTGTATCGCTCAAACGCTTGCAGGGGTCCGCTGTATAGCCTGAGGAGTACTGATAGGCAGGGTAATGAAAGGCATAAAGTCGAGAGAAAATTTGATTGAAAAAAAAATAAAAAACAAAAAAAAAATAAAAAATCGGAAGAAGAGCTTCAGAATCTCTCACCTTTCCTCCACCGCACCATTGCGTGTTGGGGTAGCCAGGGGGGCACAAGTCGGTGACCGTGAGACGGACGCTAGAGCGTCTGCAGGCTCTGCTGCCGACACACCGGACCTCCAAGCACATTCCGCACGCCAGTCCTCCCAAATACACTCTCGGCGAACCCGCAGCAAATCGGTTTGCAAACAGTTGGCTTCCAAGTGGCCCATAACCACAAGCTCCGCCGCGACCATGGTCATCATAGAAGGTGGAATGACCATTTATCCACGGCCCCCGAGCCGACAGGAGCGGATTGCAAATGCCGCCAATGCTGAAACCCCTCGCACCGCCGACGTGGAAGCAAGCCAGGGTCAAGACGGCAATGACCGCTACTAGGAAAAGCTTGCTCGTCTTCATCGTCCTCGTCCTGGCGTCACTTAGCACTCCTTGGCCTGCAGACAAGGAGAGCCAGGTAGCAGCAGGAGGCAGGTAGCAGCAGGAGCCCCTGAAGAAGAACCACCAGCTTGAGGACAGTCAGACTGTTGCCGTCGACCTGCAATACTGTATTACTGTATTGTGCTGCAGCTCCGCTCATCAATTCCTAAGCGGATTGGCTCCCCTCCCCTCCCCTCCCCTCCCCTCCCCTCTGCTGCTTGGAAAAATGTAGCGGCCTGCAAAACGAAGAGAAAATGGTCACAAACAGTCACACGTACGCGACAGCTAGCCGACACCACCCCACCTTGGGGTGCGCAGCGGCTGCAGAATCCGCCCAGGAGGGTTTTTTTTTTTTTTTTTTTTTTTGGTGAACCCACGAGTTCCCCCCGCACGGGGGGGCGGGGTGGAAAAGTAGCGCCCTGCAAAACGGAAAGAAAACGATCGCAAACATCGCGGCCTGCAAAACGGAAACAACACGGTCACCAAAACATTGCCCCTGCTTGGAATCGTAGCGGCCTGCAAAACGGAAATGAAAACGGTCACACAAACAACCTTCACCCGTACAACAAATTCCAGCTGCATCCGTTTCCGCGTTTCACTGACTTTCACTGAGCACGCCATCTGAAAAGATCTTTCCCATGCATCTGAACGTACAATGCATCTGGTCATATACGTACAATGTGACGTGTAAGCGTCAAGGTTATGAGCCGCTGCGCCAATATGCCAAATGGAGCGACACGTGTAACTTATGCGCTCCACAAGCCAATCCAACGGTCGAGAGATCAAAATGACTCGACGATCCGATCATCGCGATCAGTTTACGCCCTTCACCAGCCAATCCAACGGTCGAGAGATCGATCCTCGATCCGACCATCGGTCGGATCAATCCCTTCGGACGAGAGGCTGGACAGGTCGCACTATGAAGTGTTTTTTTTTCGTTTTTTTTTTTTTAAAGGTCGCACTATGAAGTATGATCCACCAATCAAGCACAAGATTGATAGGGCTTGCTTAATTGCACCTCCCCCGCGATCAGCCAAGATCTTGAATGCATCTGGACATGCGGCGACCTGTCCTTCAGCATTTACAGGAAAATGTTTTTTTTTCCTATTAAAAAAAAATCGACCATTTCTCGATCTATGCGTGTCATCCTTGCGCAGAGGGGGGGGGGGGGGCATGCTCGCTAATATTCTCTTTCTCTGTATCGTTCCAATTTTAACGGATGGCCCGACGAAGGAAATGCATTTAAAATCTTGGCGGATGTAGCGTGTTGCAACGACAGTCGTCCCCCGAACACAACGCACCTTCATTTTGACTGTATCGGGCCGCAAACATACCTTGTATACGTACGTTACTACGTTCATTTTTCAGGGCGCGTTATATTCGGCGGAAGACGGTTGGACCAAAATGGGCCTCACGCCACCATTCTTGATTGTGTGCGAAAGTCGAGAGAAGGTTTACAAAAAAAAACTAAATAAAACATAATTTAAAATTAAAAAAAAAAAAAAAAACAGTCGAGAGTTGGTTGGGAGTTGTCAGACTCTCCCAAAAAAAAAAAAAAAAAAAAGAGTTGTCAGACTCTATAAAAACACCTTTTCGGCTTTGTCTCGAGTTTTTCCCCTCTCCAACTAGTCTCCGTTCTTTTCTTTTTTTTTTTTTTGGTCTGCTGTTTTGAGCAGATGACGACGGAAGGGTTGGGCTACTTAGCCGGCGGAAAAAGGCGGAAAAAAGAAAAGAAAAAAAAATGTGAGAGATAATGGCCAGCCGGATCCAGCATGTCATCTGTGCGGCAAAGATGCAAGATAAGTATAAGCTCCCCCGCGCCTCCTCACTTGAGTCGGCCAGATGCAGACGTGCCGAGATTGCCAGAAGCAGACTCCCGAAACATTGCGGCTGGTATTCCCCCTGATCCCACTCTTTTTTTTTTCCTTTTTTTTTTCCACGCGTAGACGCTGAGCGATTGGCCTCGCTTATTCAAATTCTTATTCTTCTTCTTCTTCTTCTTCTTTCCCCTCAATTTTTTACTCTCTCTCTCTCTCTCGGTGTCTCTATACAGACAAACCTTTCCCTACCTGGCTATATTATGGTTAATTTCAGCTTAAATGCTAAACGCAATGTCATGCAAACGTCAGCAAACAGATCAAAAATCCGAATCCTCTCCTCGGTCAAATCCGACGCGAATACCACCTCTTTCCCCGATGGAGGGCTGACCCCCGAGAAATGATGCAATCGATCCGCCAACGAGGGGCAAGGCAAGCCTGACCGGATACAAAGTTCCAAGATCCCCTTGGCCACATCACGTTGAACACGAAAGCCTGGCGATCATGTTAGCTACCCTCTTTACCCCAATACAACCCCCGGTCATTATCTCGGTATGTAGACTGAATGCTGCCACAAATACAGCCTTACTGACCGGGAGTTCTATTAGGATGAAGACGGGTAGCTCAAATACCCCCCATGAAAAAAAAAAAAAAAAAAATGGACACGGAGCCAGCGGGTTGAAGACGAAAGCCATATGGAGCCCAACTCATGCCCACGGCCGGAGTGCTTATCGCGAGAGAGGCACTGAGGTACAAATCAGGGGAGGAGGGGGAAGGAGGGACAACGGTTATAGCAGGGGGTACCACTTCGTGCAGCCCTCCTCACCAATCGCTTCGTGGGGTTTATAGCAATCGCAATTGAGGCAGCAGATATATCGACTCTATTACTTACCAGCAGGGCTTTCCATCGCCTCGTCGCACAGGCAATTAAAGACGCAGTCTATAGGTTCCCTTCAAACTGAAAACCGACCAAGTTCACATCTCTTTCTCTCAATAGGTCCCCTCCGAACAGAAAACCGACCAAGTTCAAAACTCTCTCTCTCTCTCTCTCTCACACACACACACACACACACACACACACACACACACACACACACACACACACGCACGCACGCACGTATGCACGTATCCACGTATGGAAAGTAAGATGTCGGGTGAGATCGAGTGAACTAACATACTAGTGCATCGAGGAGTGGTTCTGCCAGCAATTAGGAACGCCTACCTTCCGACAATGCTGAGGACACCACTCGGTCCGTAAGTCGGCCTGAGAGGTGGCTGAGGCGAACGGAGAAATGCCAAGATGCCGCTCTTCTCCACTTGTGAGGTCAGCTTTCGCCCAAGCAAGCCAGTCCTATATGCAGATGTTGGCAGAGGGAGCCGATGCAACACACTCCATCAGAAAACAGGCGCCAATCAATGCCGAAGTTCTCTGAGGTACTCAGGACGCCGCAAATGCGGCGAGAGCTTTCGCGCGCTCCCCCGCTCTAAGGTAGCGAACGACCCTTGCAAGCTGAAAACTGCAGTTGAGCACGACCCACTATATCCTGTTCTGGTTCTACCACCTTTTTGTCTCGCTTGCCTTCAAGTTGGCGCCCACCTCTGTTGCCAAACTGTCGCCCTCCACAAGTCCCGAATTGCGGCTGGACGGTCAGTCGTGTGCCTTCGAATCGGATTGGAACAAGGGGGTAGCGAGATGACAAAAGGGAGCGAGGTCACGTAGGGGAGCGAGGTGATGGATGGGAGTGAGGAGAACGATGGAGCCAGGAGACTGAAATCAGGGAATGGTTACTCGCAAACGCCCGTCAGAGCGATGAAAGCGGGGATCAAATCCCACCACCGGTAGCAGTGTTGAGTTTCCTCGACGAGCGAATCTGGACATGTTTGTGGAGATGTACAGAAAGGCGCCTTGAGTTTCCTCAACCGCACCTCGCGACAAAGACGTCCAGATTCGGGCGTTGAGAAAACTCAATGCCGCACACGATATACTGCATGCATGGATGCATGCATGCATGACGTCTGGCAGTTCTTTTCTTCGTATTTCTTGCAAAAGAACGCGGGCACATCTCGTAATCACCAAAGCAATTGCGGGCCTGTAATTGGCAGTGGAATAGTTGTTGTTGTTTTTTTTCAGTGGAATAGTTTTTTTTTTATTCAAATAGAATACAAAACCCCCAAAGGAAACAGAAACAGTCAAAGGTCACAGCTTCCGCCCTGACAACGCCCTTTCAAATTCCTGCCCTTTCCCGCCTCCCGGGCCGTGGTCCCATGAGCAAAGAGCATCGGATTGAATGCCTGAATCTGGATGTGTTTGAGGACAGGAGCAGGGAATCGAGATCGAACTGTTTTCCGTATCTCTTCACAAAACATAGCCAGCTTCAGGATTTCTAGCCTATCCCCTTTGCTAGTGGGACCACGGCCCCGCAAAGTGGCCTGCGCCCTGTCCGTTCCCTGCCTTTATGGACCCACCAGGCCTCGCCGCACGAAACGGACAAAGAACGAGCGCATCTCCTCACAAAGGCGGCTAGATACAGTCGGAAGGTGCCTCGCTTTTTTCTGTCTTGCGCCGAGGGCTGATGTCACGAATATCTCCGGGCCCACGTTCCAACCCACTACTTGGGCTGGGACTTAGGGGGAGGTCCCACGAGCAAAGGGCATCGGATCAAGTGGCCGAATCTGGATGTGTTTCAGGCACAGATGCATAAGAGAAGGTCAGTTGCGATTTTTTTTTTATTTTTTTTTTTTGTTCTTCACTCAATTTCAGTTGCGATTTTCCGCGCCTCTCCATGTCCAGTTTCTGGCGTATTTTCAATCCTTTTTGCTAGTGCGAACTCGCCGTTCCAGTTCGGTCCAATCTGCTCGTAATACTTTCTTGCCGCCATTCTTTGCAGACGAACAGCGCTTCTTCCCTGCTTCCCTGGGGCTAGGTCCCACTTGCACGAATTAAGAGATACTGACCGTAGATAGCAAAGATCAACGGCCGAAATCTCCTAATCCGTGCAAGTGGGACCTTGCCCCTGTTTAGGAGCCGTGCAATTTGGCGTTGCCAAAAAGAAATGACGGACAAGTCTGGAAGGGCCTCATTGGCCCACGTTGGCGGTCAGGATATGGCGGGAGTTTTCCCACCCATTTGCAGAAGCAAATTGAGTCAGAAAAAGGGGCCTATGTGAAATAGGGCCCTCACCTCGGGGCTTGGGGCCAGGAGGCAGTGTAAGTCGTCGGAAACCCTGTGGGTGCCTCCCAGGGTGCCTGGAATAGGAAGTAGAGTTCCTATACTGTAACCGCGTGTAGCGTGGGGGCGCAGCCAGGGCAGAGGAGTTGTTGCGGGGACGAAGTTTTGAGTGTTGTAATGTGTTGTTTTATAGCAGGCAAGATGCAGTGGGCGTTGTTTATCACACATTACACATTGTGACGGTCCGGCTTTATATTGCATTTTCAAAAGTTTTTTCTGGTTTGAAGAGCATGCCAAAGAATTTGAAAGATGGAAATATTTGAAATTTTTTTTTAAGATATGGAAATGATAAAATGATTAAAAATGAATTCAAAATGGCATTTATTCATCCTCATACATATGCAAGGGCAAATACATGTAAAAAAAAAAATGTATATCACAATAGGCGTGGGAAATTTATAAGGGAAGTTTGGAAATTTTTGAATGGAAATAAATTGAAGAAATTATTAGGATCCTAGGTATATTATGTTTCACAGCTTTGGTGTCCTTTTTGTTATTATTCTAGATACTATATCCTATATACTATATGTACTAAACTATATATACTAAGTAAGAATGCTAATAAATGTGTAACTAAATGTTTACAATGGCAAAAAAATAAAAGGAAGGAGAGAAAATGAGGTTAAGAGTCTTAATTGACTATTTTTTTTTTTTTAAATCAGGGTCCTACGCATATTATGGTTCATAGTACAATTTAAGAAAAGAAGATTATCAGTCAATCTATTCTATAAAAGTTTTTTGAGGGTGCACTTACATTATTACAAAGCTTGAATTGTACAAGTCTATTCGGTTGTTCAATTTTTGGGGTTTTTTTATTTTATACTAGATGTTATTTTTCATTGAATTTTACTGTCAGAATTGGGAGGTGTGTTTGGTCTGAGAGGCAATGCATAGATGTGGGGGGGTTGTGGTATCATATGTTGAAAATTTGCGTCGAATATCAGTCCAGGAGGTACCAATGATTCTCGATGATCAGAAGTATAGTCAAATGTGATAGTTGCTCGAACTTGTTCCTATCATTCGATTGTCGTAGTCTTCATTGTAGTCGTAGACAGTCGCTCTTCACAGTAATGGAACTAAATCTTAGAAAGTGTCCATGTATTTTGTATTAAGCATTATATGAATATTGTTGACTGGTTCTGACTTATCCATGTCTGCTAAGTATGTTGTAACTATGTTTTGTGGTCCTCGCTTCCATTTCTGATGATGTACCAAAAGTCCAGTCTCTGCGATCGTTGTCGGTTGATACATAGGAAGAAAACGAAGATATCGTTCGAGGTTGATGGTTCTTGTGTGATGTAGGTTTCGTTCGTGTCGCATTGTATGATCTATCTGGTTGCCGAGTTTTGAACTTCTCTCCGGGAGTATCTTTTATCTGCCATGCAATATAACAAAGAGACAAACGAGTTATTTTATAGGCGTGGTATGAAGATGAGAATGTAATATTTATATGTTATGAGATGTGTGCTATATGGTTTTTGCTTAGTTTAGGATATATGTTAAGACGAATGATGCATTGAAAGCGAGAACAATCGTAGAAACGAATCTATGATGAATGGTATTAGTTAATAGAATTATTATTCCAAGATTAGGAGCATCGAGAAAACAAATAATGTCGTTGATGATAGCAGTACGAAGATTTTAGAGGTTTGTTGGTAATGGTGTGACATCTGCTAGGAAGATATATAAGGACAAAGGAGTTGTAGAATGATATGCAAAACAACAAATCAATCTCGATTCTATGCATCAACCCAGTGATTCGGGAGGTGTGAGGAACATGCACTAAACTTTTCGATAAGCAGTTTTTCTCAGACTAAATAATGAAACCATCAATATCTTTCTCAGACATTCTGTTTCGATGCGGTTGCTAATGTGCCGTGTCTTTGGGGGCTTAACCTAACGGATTGAAATGACTAGCGACGGCATGTAAAAAAAGAAAAAATTGTGTCTGCGCTGATCCAGATTGAAGCGACTTGTCATGACGAGTAGAAAAGAAAAAAAAAATATCTACGTTAGTCCGGCTTTTATCAGCGCGCAGAAAAAATCGGTGTAACGAAGAGAAGGCTTGAATGTATCACCGTGTTGAATTGAGTCTGGATTTGAAGTCAGTGTAAGTCACACAAGGTCGAGTGATTGGAGAAGGAAGACGAAGGAAGATATCTGTAGGTCTGGCCCCTTCATTCAGAGGAGAAGGTCACAGGCATTGGGCTTTGCTCCACTATTGTGAACGTATTTGGCCTTCCAATTGTCCAGATACGTTCGAATGGGAAAGTCAATCCCAATGTATCTGGAATGTTGTATTGTCCAGATATGTTAGTGTCAGTCTTGTTTGAAGTGCACGCATCTTACCATAATTCTTTGAAAGCGAGGTCTTGTAAATCCCGGTCTGGAATTTGAAGACAAAACTCTCAACTAAAGTCCAATGAATTTTGCCTCAGTAATCCGTTTGAACGTTTAAATACATTCTACTCATATTTCAATTCACAAGTATTATATAAATCATAGGTCTCCAGTTAAATAGGGCTTATTAGAGAATCATCTTCTTATCCAACGTATATATAGTTTGGTTAGCCTGCCTCTTTCTCTGGTGTAGATCGAGGCGCGTTAGCGGAATTTCCCAGTTTCAAAATCGGATATTATATTATGAAAGTTTTAGACGCAAAATGTACTCCGTGAGGTGGTTACATGGACGTAGATGATACATTCAGGACCGCTCTCTTTCCATGTCCCTTGGGATGCTAACCGCCAAACCTCAAATTGACGGCCCAGTGGCCTCTCCATCAGTCCCTAAGTGTGGTCGGTACTCATAACGTTCGGGTAGCGAAGCTTACACTTGTTCAATAGTTCGTCGTGACTTTCTTCCTTCCGGAACTATTGTATTTTTTTTTGCAGCTTGTTTAGTTACATTGAATATCTTGAGATTCCCTTTGTGGTAAAAAAATGTGTAAACGAATGAAAGCTAATAAAGAAAGATTGACACATTGACTTTTTGAACGGATTACTGCTGTTTTTTTAATTCCAACTATACTTTTAGCAAATGTTTTCAATTTGATCTGGTTAAATATCCTACTTTTTTTACAACCCCAACATCAAACAACATCTACAAGATTTACTTATATATTAGCTTGTGATAAATTAAAAACAGGTAGCTCGGTCAAACTAATTTGAAGAAAAGTCTCATTATACGATACGAGAGTAATTGACTATTTAAGTAATT